ATCAATTAGCCACGTGCGCAACGTTGTTTTATAACAAACGAAAATTGCGCCGCAGTTTCTTCGTTTGCCGCGTAAAATCTGCAGTTTTTTTTTAGAGGGAAGACTTTTGCGGAAGAAGTTTAATTTGCAACGCGCAATATTCACTTGTTGTCATCATGTATTATATATCGCACATAAATATTTGCGCTGTATAATATTGATTGAAAAACTCAACAATTAAATTCCGGCGTAGGAAAAATTCCCCAACAAAAAATCATCATCCGATCGCAAAGTGCGTTTTTGATATTTCCACTTTTTCTTCTCTCTCGTATTTAAATCGACAATTTGATATTTTCTAATTAAATCGCGTCGAATACAGCGAGCCGTTAATTGAACAGAGGGAAACCGATATCTGCATCAGATATGCATTTCGCCGGGAATACACGCACGATGCATCTCGTGACATTGTTCAGTCTCATTATAATTTCCAGCGCCGGGCTATTGTTCCCGCCGTCGTGTAATAGCTGAAACGAATTTATCTGATGAAGAGTCCGCGGAGCCGGCGCACACGAGGCCAAATAATATATAAGTACACGAGCGAGCGATTGTTTTCATTGGGGGAGGGGGAGGGAGGGAGGGAGGAGATACTCTCTTTCCCCCTTCCGTGATGGATGTCCGGAGTCTCTCTGTGCGGATTCATTTTCCGCGCTCGAACAACCGCACGCGGACGCAACCTCGCGCATTTATCTTCGATGTATAAGAAAATACCGCAGCGATGTTCTCGCGCGCGCGCGCGCACGAACGTGTGTGACCGCGCGGCGATATTTCTCTCGAATCGATCGAGACTCGCCGAGAAGAATTCCTGTCGCCGGGATCATCGGCTGCGTGGTTTCACACGCTCCATCCGGTTTGAGGCGGCGGCGGCGGCGGCCGACGCCTCATCGGCGAGTGTGCCACTTACCGCTCGCCGACTTTCTTCGCTCTCCACCTTACACGCTACTTACTTTCGCCTTCGAACTTTTCGGCTTCCGCGGAAACGCGTTCCACCGAGACCGATCCGCAAGGCGGTTCTGTCGATCGTATCTATCGCCGAAGGAATCGCGACTTACGACTTCCGAGTGCGAAAAAAAAAAAAAAACCCCAGTATAAACGAACGCCCGGCCGGAAATGAGGGAAAATGAAATGTGCGAGTGTAATACGCGCGCGCGATGTGAAACCCGCTCGGTCAAGAAGACGATAAAATTAAAACTCGCTTTCAGCCGGACACCGGTCGCGAGATATTCTTCCGTCTTCCGAGGAGATTCAAACTCGGAAACGAATCTGATTTCCGAGTTAATTAATTAATTAATTCGTGTAAGTTAATTAGAGTCCGAGGAGTGAGACATCTCGGACGATGACATCGCGCGCGTCGTTATTTACGAGGTCGTTTATTCTTGAGCAGGATTTATCTGTGGCCGAAACGACGTCGGATGATTCAGAATCAGTGACGCGAGATATCCTCCGCGCGCGGAGGATCGATCGCGGAGGAATTGGAAACGAGAGAGTCGCATTTTCCCGCACGCCGTGCAAACAGACTTCAATGATTTACGATAATATTCGTATAATTAGATTTTATGCGGCGTAATTAATCGCACACCGCGCGAAACGTTAGTTTCTCGGCAACACGTTTGTGTTTGCAAATAAAAACAGAAAAATCTTGTGAGACCACAATTCAAACGGATGGTTCAGATTAAATTCAATTCGGACTGAAACTTGTGTAATTTTTTAATCGAATTAAAATCATTTAATTAATTAATTAATTAATTTCACGTGATTAATTAATTTTGTGCGTTTTATTTTTAAAATATTCACATACGCAAAATTATTACTGCTGTTTACAACGGCATTGCGATAGAATCTTGTTGTCGCGCGACTCACACAACAAAGACGAAGGAAAGAATCTCTCCGTCTCTCTTGGCCTTAATAAATCTTTTTCGTTGCGTAAGGATCGGATTTCTGCGTTGCGCAGAAATTTTCCCGCAGGAATGTCTTTCTTCTTTCGAGTCGAGATCGGATGTCAACAGCGTGACGCGCGCAAGTTCGTCGCGGCAAAACGTAATTAGAGTAACCGAAGTGGATCGCAAATTTTTTCCTAGTTTCATTTCGTTCGCGAGAGCGGCACGCGATGAGAGAATTAACAGAAGTCGGTGACGAGAAGTAGAGAGAGAGAGAGAGAGAGAGAGAGAGAGAGAATTCTTTTACTTACGTGCTACTTTTAGCTCGAATTTTAGACGTAAGAACTTCCGCCTACGGCTGACCTCTTAGCAAATCTTTTCTTTCTTCCGCTGTTATCCGAAACTCGGCAAACACTCTTTCCGGGAATTTTGCGAACATTTCGAAAGAGAAAGAAGAAGAGAGAAATTTTGCTCCACCTTCATTAAATGCTCAAGAAAATGCGCTCGCCTTGAAATGTGTGTGTGTGTGTGTTTTTTTTTAATTAAAAACTATAAAAAAATTATAATTATACAAATTGTTGCGGAAATTAAAATCTGAAATTAAGTTTTCCGGAAAGCGATGTAAATGTTTTTATCGTGATCGCGAAAAAACGCGCGACAAATCGAAGTCAATGTCGACGGAACGATAATTGATAACGGAAAAAATATAACTTTTTCTATTAAAACGTTACTTCAATTATTTTACATATAACCGCGGATCTGACAATAAAATGCTCTCCCTCTCTCTCTCTCTCTCTTTCTCTCTCAATATCAATATCGCAGTTATAATTAATTAACGACAGAACACGCCTCTGTCATTTAAGACAAAAACGCACGCGCGCGGATGTCGGGACACACAATAGGGAGTTCGATACGCAAAATACGAAACCGAGTTTAATGAATCTGTAAGAAAACAAAAACATTTGACCTAGTTGCAAACAAAAAGCGATATTAATCGGGCGTAATGATTAACGTTGGTGCGCCTCGCCCGAACGGTGTACGAAAAATCCTCTTCTTTGCGAGCCCGAGCAAACAGAAAAGACGTGGAATTTCCTGGCGCGCAATTAAAAGAGACGCAGTTTTTTTTTTGTTTGTCTAGACACAATCCGGAGCGGATTTCACGTTATATACGCGGCGGCAAGTGGGTCGCGAACTGTATGCATCGTATCACGCGATCGGGACGCGCGGGGGATCGGAACTCGAATTCAGGTTTTGAACTCTCGAAACACACCCTGTGTCGAAACTCGAGTCTAGGGAACCCCACCTGAAAGAAAGGCTCATCGCGGGAAAAATAATAGGCAAAAGAGAGAGAGAGAGAGAGAGAGGAAGAGAAAGAAAGACAAAATGCGGGTCAGTGTGTGAACGAGCTCCGTTCGTTTCCTCGTGTCGCGATTCAGGAGGTCGCCGACCGTTTTTCTCTCTTTCTCCGTCTTTTTCTTCTCGATTCGCCCGTTCTTCCACGATAAAAGAAGAATCACGCGTCGATGTTTGTCTCCGCTCGCATAGAGTCTGAAACGTAAATCAGATCTCTATCTGCGCGCGTCTTATTAATGTCGTCTCTCTCCCACAATGAGAGAGACGTTTATTAACCTTCTCGCGAATATTAACCGCGGGTCGTTAAATATAACCCGCGATACCGGTACACTTCGGGTTCTCTAGTGACCGTAAATTATGTGCTGTGAAATTTTTGCAGCATCGGCGTGGTACGAGACGTAAGTTAGAAAGCGTAGTAACTGCGAGAAAGAGAGAGAGAGAGAAAGAGATCCATCGACACACTGGTCTATTTTACAATTATATCTGCTGCCCGAGAGATGCCCAAAGAATGCAATCGCCGATGTGATCCGCGAACGTCTCGGACTCTTGCTTTTGTGTTAATCGCAAAGTATATAATAAAAGAGCGCGCTTGTATTTTTATTTGTTTTTTTTTTTTTTTCTATTATTTGAACAACATAAAACGAGAAGACGAGATTTCGTGCGAGCTCTTCGAATAAGAATATATAAATTTTTATTACATTGCAACGCGAGCGGCACACTAAGGCGCTCGAAAGGCGAAAAATTACACGGGTTGTTATATTCAAAGAAAATCGAACATTAAGTAACGTTACTTTCTACTGTTAATTACGCGCGTTTTGTTAATGAACGGCCGCGATCGAACGGAATTCATCCGTGCGAGTTTTGCGAGAAAAAATCGAGCTCGCGAAAAATCTTCTTATTCCAGTCAACATTGTTGTTTTTTTTTTTTTTTTTTTTTGTGACGCGAAGCTCCGAGCGATTTTTATTTATTTTACTATCTGGTTTTTTTAAGCTCGATGATCATTGATGCGTGAACGATGCTGCTTTTACTTTTCTCGCCGGAAGAAAAAATCACGGGAGGGTTATTCCAAGGAATTCGAGGAATATAATAATTGTAATAATTCCTCGATTTGTGAGATTCGTCTTGTATAATTCGCCGACTAATTTTACGCTCTTTGACTTTCCGGTCGTAACTGTTTTTTTTTTTTTTTTTTTTTTTTCTTTCTGAAAGTCGCGTACGCGCGCAACAATGTTCCGCGCGCTTCCATTTCTTGAACCGCACACAACAGACCTCGAATTTTATTCCGTATACATCGATTACGGGATCGCGCGATATACAAATTATATATCTTTAAGCCAACAAAGCTGTGATTCATGCGAAGATTCCGGGGGAGGAAGGGGCGGGGGTAACAACCTCTTTCCACAGATATCCGTAAAGGTAAAAACGAGCACAATGAGGCACTGAGGTACACAATCAACGGGAGTAATAGAACGGCCAATAAAAGTCGAACGTGAATGTTGCCCAGAAATATGAGAATATTTTCAATTTGATGACACGCGTAAAGAGACGCGAGGAAACGCATTTCAACCCCCATCTCGCGAATCCTCTTCGTTCAAAAGTCGCAGTCTCTTTAAATTTTATATTAAACGCGCGGGTTAAATCGTTTAATTTTGGTTCCAAATTGAGTAATCAATTCCACGTTTGATCTCCAATCAACCGATCATTTTACCGATCCCTTTGATATATCGACTCACCATCGTGCAAGGGCGGCCGATACTTCCGCGCTGGATCACCGCAACACCCTCGGATCTCTCTCACCCTCGTTCTTCACCCCCTTTTTTCTCTGCCGCCACGAACCCCACGGACGACGCTTGTCGCTTTGTCTACTGATCGCGTCCTTCGCACTCGTTCACATCGCACCACCGACACATATCCTTCCTGGAGTCCCGCAGTTCGGATTTGAGTCCCTGTCGGACTTGATTCCCACGTCCTATCTCACTCCGACCGAGTCTCTCCGCCACACGAAAGAACTCGGAGAAAACGTGAACGTGTGTGCGAGAGAGAGAGAGTGTGTGTGTGTGTGTGTGTGTATGTGTGAACAAGTTGTTGCGATACACGTGCGGTCTTAGGTACACGAGCAGTTTGAACGGGCTGTCCCAGAATGGACAGGCTATATAGATATCCCCTCCAGAGGACGAGGACGACGACGACGGAGAGTAGCTCGCGGGTGCCGTCGGCGAACCGTGATCCAGGAGAAAGCCTCTCCTTCGATTGGTATCCCGCGTGCTACGAATATCACGAGATATTCACGCGTGTGCGGTGCGATTCGGTTTCTTAATCGGTGCGGAATTTACATCTTTTTACGCGTTCTTTATGTAGGGGATGATTGGAAGAGATGGACAGACAGAGGGGCCGGTTCGAGCAATTAGAATCATCTTTTTTTCTCACCTTCTTCTTCGATAAATGTGATCGCGATCAATCAAATAAATCATGGAGAGGTGACTTTGACGCGTGGAAAAAAATTCTGAGAAATTCGAGATAAAAAAAAAAAAAATAAATAAATAAATGAACGATCGCGTTTCCTCTTCATATACAATTCGTGACATTTATTTAGTATCTGCTCTGATTTCCGGCGTTGGTTGCGGCGTTTGAAACTTGAATCGTGATATTTTATGCATCAATGTGTGTGTGTGTGTGTGGGTTGATAACACGTTTATGTCAGACAAAATAACGTCGCACACACGTAGCAACAGACAAATATTATTTCGCTGATGTTAGGAGAAGAGGAAATGGTTTTCTTTGTACTTGTATAAATAATATCTTCGCAAAACCCATACGCGCACACGCAGAGGAAATAATTCTCCAAATGTAACGGATATAGATCCTAAACGTAACGTGTATCTTTTAACTTGATAATAAATTTCCCGTGTGATTCGCAAATGTTTCTTTTTCGTGTTGAAAAGTTTAGATTGTATATATACGGAGTGTATCCGATAACTGCTGGTGGATCAAGAACGGGTGAATCAAAAAAAAGTCTTTTGTCAATTAGCGAGTTTCGCAATAATTAATGAGGCATTAATTTATAAAAATAAAATGAGCGCGCGCGCGCGCGCGGTGAGTCACGGGACGCGAGAGGAATTAGTTTTTATTTAGTTTTTCGAGTCAAATTAAATAATTGCTTAATGAATATTTCACAAATAAGTAATTTATTTTTCACGGTTTGGGGGTTTTTTAATCAAAATTAAAATCGTTAATAACCGTTTGCTGTTTATAGAGCACTCCTGTTGAGAGTCTCAACCTAGCAACCGTGAACGCGCGAAACGCTCAACTGTCTCTTCACGCGCGCTTAATCGCGGATCTTTATTATAAATTAACTCGCGATAATTAATTATTGCGAAACTCGCAAAATGCTTAAGACTTAATGGACTTAATGGACTTTGCTACTTGGTACAATCCTGTTCGCGCGAGAGATGATATTATTACCCGACACGTATAAAATCTAATAAATTATATTTTATATGTAAGTGTAACATAAATAGAAAATTTACGCGTTATATATATTATATTATTGAAATACATATAAACATATTAATTTTGTTCCGAATTCAACAGTGTGAATTATAAATTGTCCGGAACGGGGCCTCTGTACGAGAGAGCTGCTCCGCTTCGGCCGGCGCTCGCGAGAAGTGAGAGGCGGTCGCGGGCGGTGTATATCTATGTGTGCGCGCGCGCGCGCGCGCGTTACTCGTTCTTATGCAATTTCTGATTGGAATCGTGGGTCAGTCAGTTCGTCGACTCTTACGGAAATATGCTAGGCCGCCACGAATCCTCTCGCCCGCAGGAAGGAACTCGCCGATCCGCAGCAGCACTCTCGGCTCTCGAGAGTGATTAAGAAATCGAGCCTGCTGCACAGCTTCTCTCGCTCACTCTCCTCAAATCATCCTCTCGCACACACACGTCGAGAAGAGCTCTTTCTCGAGAGCTCAGCTCCTCAGGATGTTGCATCCGACGCGATATATACGCGTCTCTCTGAATAGAAACGGGCTCTCGGGAGGAAACACGCCCGACACTCGCCGCGGGAACTTTCGTAATTCTCTCCGCGAACACATCGATTTCCTTCGCGAGCCGAGCGAGACAAGTTCGAAATTGATGGTCGATGAGAAACCGACGTAATAATCGCCCGCATATAATTTTTTCCCGCGACGAGCGTCTGCGTTCATTTATCACCTGATCTAATTGTTGTTTGTTTTTTTTTTTTTTCCGACGACTATGACGTTGTAATTGACTGAAAAGCGCGACTATCGGTCGGACGTTCCCGTCAGATTTTTGCGAGCAATCTCTCGATCGCGTTCTCAGTAAAGACACTTTTGTTTCTTTCTCTTCGAAGACGATCGCGTTTCCTCGCCGCGTCTTCAAAGCCGTGACGTTTTCTAGAAACACTCACGCGTCGTCTTTTCGGCGTTCGAGAAATAAGGACGAGTGTGGGGAATCGGACGTGTCCGCAGAAGGACGAGGCGAATCGTCGAATTCAATGCCCGGATATACGGAGTGTGCTGCTGACGATTGCATGCGTGCCTTCTTTTCAGCATTCGCACGGCCTCACGTTTCACGCGTAAGAAAAATTGAAAATAAAGCCGCGCGTTAACGATCTGACGATGAGTAAAATGTTTTTTTTTGTCTCGTCAATTTTTGAAAGAGCTTTCGAAGAAGAAAAAGAAAACGTTGAAAATTCTCTTTTTTTACGTAATAAAACAACCAGTGTACAGGTTCTATAATCCCGCAATTATTTGAATTCGACGCCTTTCGAGAACGAGAGTCGCATTCCCCGGTTTTGTTCCGCAAGGACACTCGACGTTGTCCTCCCTTTCGAATCGGCGGCGGCGGCGGCGGCGGCGTCTCGTTCGATCGATCGATTGGCCAACATTCGGAATTGATCGGAACACGTTTCGGCGCGTGAAATAAACAAACCACACGTTGTGCGGAGGGCAAACAGGGGGTGAAAGTGAGAGAAATTCCTGATTTGTCGTACGTGTACATTTATCTTTATCGACACGTTGCACAAACAAGAGCATTTCTTCTTTCTTCTCAATATCTTCAAAAGTTAATGGATTCGCATAATTACCGTTTGCGAACGACAACAAATGAAATACGAGTCGTGTACAAGGTGGTATTGGAAAAAAAAAAAAAAAAAAAACATAATTTCACCTCGCTTAGAAAGTATATTCGTACATTTTACGAGGAGTGGAAGCCGTGTGAAAGTAAAATACGTCGTCGATAACCACGTATTAGTTGTATTCCTTTGTAGTCATTAGAAAAGACCGACGAGAGAGTCGAGACTAAGAAAAAAAAAAAAAAAAGATGATTCGGATACAGATTGAAACTTAGAAAAAAAAACAATTATATAAATATAGATGGTGGTAGGTTTTGTAACTTCTAATCACAAGCGGAAACACTAATATCCCGTGTGTGTAAACTCCCGGTGATCGCTTTTAAATTTTTTTCTGTCATCTCGTGTACGCAAAGCGGGTTTCTGGATTTGTTTTTTAAAAAATTTCACACAACTGTGAAAAACACGCGAAACACGCGAAAATTTTTTCAAAACTCAAAGAACTCTTTGTGGACATTCTGCGCCGGCGCATATATATATTTAGATCTCCACCTTCGCCTTTCCTTTCACTGTCGCTACACACATGTAAAAAAATTAGCACCGATCTACGCGCGCGACTTTCCGCGCGTATACACTTGAGACTTGTCGCGAAGCGAAATGAATTTTACAAAGATTTCAATTACTTCTATCTTTCTCTCTCTCTCTCTCTCACCGAGAAACGCGTATTTATTCGCTTTCTCAAAGACTTCTTCTGAATTATCGTTTTTTAACTAGCTCGACGACGGTTCGATTCATAAATGTGTAAATTCTTCGACTATATTACTACAGAATAATTTCGATAATTGACACGGGACATGTGTACGATACAAGCGCAAAGAACTGTTACTTTTCTCGTTCTCCACGCGGCTAAGTAAATCAATCAAACGGATTTTTCTTCGGTTCCCGAACGATCGACCAAAACGGATTCTCATTCGAGATCAGAAACGCGCGCGAAGAAGTCGCGGGATTGTCGTCACGAGCACCGGCTAATTGATAACGAAGACAATCGAGGTTTCAATCCATCCGTTGTCTCCGCCCTGGTGCCTTCGAAATCGCGCTGCAGGTGAAAGCTGGCAGCCGCCCGCAGGTAAGTAAGCAAAATGCATTCCTATCTCATGGCCGGCCCCCTCATCTCTCTTGCTCGTGCCTCTTCGTGTGCAATTATCTTAATAATCCGCCACCGCCGCCGCCGCGTATCACAAACCGCGGAGTGTGTTCGAGCCATTCTTTCCGCTCGCGACGACGAATATCGCCGCCGCGGTGGCTCAATTCGCGACGAATCTTTCTCCGCTCGCTTCCCCTCGCGAACAAAACGAAACGAGGAGGATTGCGCGAAGAAGTGAACGGTCTCACTGACCGATATCAAGCGATTCGACGACGCGATCGCGAACAATCTTCGATAATGAGAAAATAATGCGATAAGTAGCGCTCCCGACGATTAAGCAGCGACATCGTCGCGAGGCGCATACCGAGCGGGTATGCATTAGTGCCTCTTGGATAGTAAATGAAATTAAAATTGATTTTTTAATCGAGCGCGATTCTCTTGCGACATTTCGTCGCGAGTTGTAATTGTAATCGAGCGCAATATGAAGCGTTTGCGAAAGAATCGGAAAGGAACGCGATTCGGAGAAGAGTTGAATCTTCATCGACGAATCTTCATTATTACCGTCGCGAAGAAGAAGTAACAATTGAAGTGGCGATTTGGAGAGAGAAGAATAATATACCGTTATGCAACCGGAACAATAATGTTATTCAACTGCGATCGTAATTATGTAATTACGTCGATTTAACTAAATGCGCGATATCAATATAGTTGCATAATGATAATTCTACACAAAATCTCCGATCGCGTAATCTTCATTTGTTTACCGTTCATTTTTTACCTATTAACGGAGAAATTCCTTTCCAACATAAAAAAAAAAACACAATCAAAAGATAAAATACATAAGAAATTGTAAATAAATAAATAAACAAATATGTAAGT